ATGGATTCGCCCCAATGAAGTGTCTGGTCATCATTCATACAAGAGTGAATTCCTTTTTGTTCAAGAGTTGAGCGTAGATGCTCCAAAAACTTCTCGTCAACGTCTATTCCTCTAAAACTCACAAAAACATCATGGTTTTGTAACAGGGGAGAAGAGAAGAGAGTGGAGTGAGTAGACGAGGATGAAGATGGCATTAGTCTGCATGTAGATTTGTTTGAAATTAGTATATAAAAGCAAGCTATATATGTGTGATGTTTTTTTATTTTGGAGGATGTGTCAGATACAACTTATCTCATTTGTACAACAAATGCAATCCAATCGTATGAGATATTTATAGAAATGACAAAGTGCATAAAAATGTAACGTACTTTGATCAAATTTCCAATATTCAACTTCTCGTCAACGTCTATTCCTCTAAAAATCTACGAATAAGATGAAGAACATCAACAAAAGTTCTACCATAACCCAAAATTAAAACCCTAAAATCAAAACTCAAATCAACCATGATTTGTCAAAACCCTATGATCAAGAACAAAAGCAAAGATGATTTGTCAAAACTCAAATATATTGTATTCTATTTTATATTCTTTTTGGTTAATTACTATAGGCTAATTAATTGAGTTGCATAAATTAATTAGCCTCTTGCTACCACAAATTAAGATTATATTCTAATTTATAGTTAATAATATATATATTTTTTTTTTGATTAACCTGGATATCCAACCCGCTATGCGAGCCGACTAATTTCAGGACGACCATCTGCTTTGCAGATAGTCCGGAGTCATCGCATTTGAACCTCCGTGGCCACAAGAGGATTTTTATTCATCTTTGGATTTGAACCTAGAATCTCCTGGTACTTTTGATCTTTAGAGTCAAGCTCAAACCAATCAGACACCACCTTTGTGGTTGTTAATAATATTTATGTTCCAAAGATATGAAAAAATGAGCAACTAATCATACCTTGAGTCGTCCCCGGAAGTTGAAAGTCCTTGGTGAAGAGCAGCTGAGAGATCATCAACAACTTCTGCATCGTGTTGTAATTCACCAACACCTGATTCCTATGAAACGAAAAAATATTACAAGAACTGATCATAAGGATTTCGTAATTCGATGTTAATTGTAAGCTGGTCTAGGGGTTAAAATTGTGATCCTCTAAATCTTTGGTAAAAACAATATATAGAAATGAACATTTGATGTTCACTTATAAACGTAAATAATTAAAAAGAAAAGGTGACAACTTACTCGTGATTGGTCATTTAGAGCTTGTTCAAGTTGTTCCACAATTTGACTCATTGTTGGGCGAGCTTCTCCACGTTTCTTCAAGCATTCATAGGCAACAGTCGAGACTGTACTCAGGGAAGTTGAGCACATTTGTTTTTGTAAATTGGGATCAATGATCTCATCTAACTTGCCATTTTTGTAATGTTTTTTGGCTAGATTATGTAAAAAATGACGCTCATCTTGACGCGGATAATCTAGATCACATGCCGGCCTTCCACACAAGACTTCAAACAATACGACTCCAAAAGAAAAAACATCACACTTTTTTGTGAGAACATTAGTATATACATATTCTGGATCAATATATCCTAATGTTCCACAAGGTTGAGCGATAAGAAAGGTACACGGCGCATTTGAAAGACCTATTTTGGACAACCCAAGATCGGAAATCTTGGCTTTCCAGTCCTCGCCCAACAGGATATTTGCGCTCTTGACGTCACAATGAAGAATTCTATGTTGAGGTCCAAGATCATCATGAAGGTACTTCAATCCTTTGGCAACACCTAAGCAGATCCGAAGACGTTGGATCCAATTCAGATCTTCGCTTTGTAGAAGTTTGTCGAGACTCCCATTACTTTCATGCTTATAGACAAGTATCTTCTCGCCATCTTGGTTGCAAAAACCGACAAGGGAGACAAGGTTTTCATGTTCATAAGCGGAAAGCAATGAAATCTCCTTCATGAATTCATCTTGTCCTTGATCACCACCATGATACATTCGCTTGATGGCGATGGTGCCATATCGCTCAGACTCGCCTTTGTAAACCTTGCCAAATCCACCCCTTCCAATGAAGTTACCTTCATCAAAGTTGTTAGTTGCCAATAATATATCTGGGAGAGGAATCTGCAGGTGGTTCACTTCTCTAAGAACATACGACATGATATTTTGATTTATGATGTAAATATGGAAACATGAACAAGGGTTACAACCATCAAAACCCTTGGAATTAAGAACTTGATCTTAATGGTGTTAGACTTGAAGAGAGACGACATTCTTTTTTTTTTCTAAAGTCAGCCGGCCGGGTGAAATAAAATATGTTATTTAAAACTATATTTTTATTTTTGTCCTTTTAGATAGAAATTATTTCTTTCGTTTCTATTGGTTGTCTTATTATATATTGTTTTCAAAATGAATCTTGTTAAGACTTACGTGATTACAATTTCTATTTATGGTTTTAATGAAAGGGATGGGTTCCGTGAGAAGGATAAGAACATATATACATCTTTGAATTTATCCTACTTATAAAAATGATTATTTAACCTCTCATAATTACAAAAAAAAAAAAATGAAAAAACTAGAAGAAATAAAAAAACTAGAAGAAATAAAAAAACTATGATTGGTTGAATAAGGTTTGTATGATTTGTACAAATAACATGGTTTGCAAAGTAAACCTCCTATATATATATATATATATATATATATATATATATATATATATATATATATATATATAGGGGTGAGTTCAAATAAAAACCACTAAATTTGTAAAAACCGTGAAAACCTCATCCAACCAATCATAATTTTTCATTTTGTTCATTTTTTTGTAATTATGAGAGGTTGATTAACCATTTTTATTGTGGAGGGTGTTAATCACATATATTATCATCTTCATTATTTTAATTTTAGAGAAATACATGAAACAGTTTCATTAAAATTTCATTAAGTAGTATATGAAACAGTTTCATTAAAATTTCATTAAGTAGTATATGAAACAATTTCATAACCACATATGAAACAACTTCATCAAAAAAAGTATTATATGAAACAATTTCACAAGATTAACAATTTCATGAAATTTTTTTATAAGATTAACGATGGATGAGAGTAGTTTTTACAGGTTTTACAAATTAAAAGCATTAGATCAATTTTCTTCTACAGCGCAATTCATGGGTTGTTTTGGGATTAAAAGTTATCAAATGTCTAGATCCGTTCATACACTTCTCACTTTAACTCTTATTCTCGTGTGATCCGATTTATATTGAGAAACATTATGTGATGGTTACGTGTGTGTGGTTTTATAGATGCTTTGTCATATATGTATGAAACCTTAAGCACGAAATAGGTTTTAATTTTTAATCGTGAACGACTTTGATATGAAAGCGATGTACGGTTAGGTGGGCTGATTTATTCTTCAGACGTCTTCATCAACCATTGGCTTTAAAAAATATGGAATCAACTTCGGTAGGTGGATGCTATTAAAGATAATAAGCCAAAATTTCATGTTTTTGCAAAATATTCGCGAATTTCAACTATATGGTATGTATTTTATAACAATGTTTATAAATCAAAACTCATAGTCTTTTTATTTATTTAGTAAGATAACAATGCTTATAAATCATACTTGTTATGGTGTCAATTGATGGAATTTGTGCAAACCACAAAGACTAATGGTGAATTATTATTACACCTTTGCCATGAAAATATTGCCCCTAATCATGAACCATATTATCCTTAAAGAAATGTGGCACAACTTTTGGTAGGTGGAACATTACTATCTATTTAAATACAATGACATGTTTAGTTGACTTGAACACATTTCATATTGGATACAAGTGTGTGAAGCTTGTTTATAGAATTGTAAGAAGGGATTTCACCCCTTAATTATTTTTAACTATTGTTGATTTAATGGTTTAGATTAAGTCTGAAAATAATTCATGAGTTAGCTTAGAAGGGCATTTTATAATTGAAGAGATCGATCCAAGGGTGGAGATCCCTTCTTAGTCGTACATAGAGTTTCTAATGTATAAACTGTTTATATTTGATATATTCTCTAAGTATTGTACACACATACATAAGTTAAAGAGTTGATTACAATTTTCTAATCAACGTATTACTAACTTTTCTCGTATTAAATGCATTGCTTAATATCTTATTATATGAAGGGCACGTGAGACATACTAAAATATGAATTTTTTTTTGAAGTATATAATATTTATATACAACAAATAGAACAAATAAATTCACACACCCTCCTCACCTTTGGTGAGGTTTGAACCTTTGACCTCCTAGAAGGCCAAAGACTCACATACCGCTAGGCCAAAGACCCTTTGGTACTAAAATATGAACTTGTTGTCTTATCTTTGATGTACATGATACGAATAAGTGAGACATTTTCTTTGCCCTATCAAAATAGTAATATCAAATCATGTAATAAACCTAATGACCAAACTAATTCATGGATCACTCATTCTCTTTTGACCCATAAATTTTAGCCCAACCACAAAATAAATGAGCCAACCTTAACCTTTAGTTGTCCACTCATAGAAGCCCAAGCTAAGCCCAATTCATCATCTTCATTAACCTTTTAGTTGTCCTCAAATCGTCATCAAATTTTCTAATTTTGCAAGTTTTAGAGGTTATTTGTTTACCTTTTAATAGATTTATTAACAAAAAATCTTTGAATCGTTAAAAAATAAATTTTATTTGACAAAAAAAAGTTTATCTCTTAATAATTTCAAAACCTCATATTATGGATCTCTCTTAACCATTCAATCCATTATAAACAATTACCAAATAATTATATTTCATTTTATACTATAACATAAAAACCTTTTAATCATTCTGACAATTTAATTCTTCTATTAAAAAAATCATTAGGCCTCTTAATATCGAAATTGAATTTTCCATAAAATCCGTAATTTATTTTTAAATCAATAAATATTGATTAAAGAATGTGAATCCCCGCCACGTATACCAATGATGATGCACCCACTCACACTCACGCGATCTTTTCGCCATGAAGGGTAGCAGGTCGACGAAACAAAGTTGGCGTTCGACGCTACACATTCATCATACCCTGAATCCCTAATCTTTTCATCCGATCAGGTAATTCCTTTACAAATTCTTTTTTCTTGTCATTGTTTCGTGATCTTTGATTTTTCTTGTGGTTTTATTGATTGTTTGATCAGGGGATTACCGGCAACCCTAGTTTGCTTTTTCTTCTTATCGTTTTTTGCTAAGGTTCCGCCTCATAATTTAAATTTTCTTTTATGCGGTTTCTTGATGATCAAGGGGCTTAGTCGGCATCTGTGATTATGGTTATGGTTTCTTGATGATCAAACGACTGGGCATATAATATACTTGCTGCAAAGATCATGAATTTCCAACTTTTCTACATGAATCACCACTAATAACCGGCAACAAGGAGATGGCTTTTTGTTGATTGAATAAGACCCAGATTCATACTTCTCAACTCATTTTGTCTCTCGATTTGGGAGGAATTGGTATCCTTTTTTATGAATGAGAAACACAAGAATGAAAGGGAGAACAAACAACTTAAACCGTAGGCAAGCAAGAATTCATCCTTTCTTTTACTTTCTTTCGTTTTCTTACAGCAACAGTGAGGAACAGTCTTAAGGTTTCTTGATTGGCGTTTTGGGCTGTTGTGAAGCAGGGTTTATTTCTGCTGATGAATTTTTATCCTTACTGCAGCTTGCAATGAATCCTCTGTCCCAGGTATGATCTTTTTTTTTTTGGGTGGAGGGGGGTTTTGCCGTTTGAAATTCCGCTTCTATGTGATGATTTATTGGGATGTCTAGAAAATGTTTGATGACATCTTCTATGGTCTTTTACAGAGATCGTTTATGTTGATTGTTAAACCACGGTGACCAAAATATGGTTTTTGTTATTCTTAGTATCTGGTGGTGTTGTCATTGCTCAGAAAATTTATTGTGTTGGTCATTAGATACTACCTCAAATGATTTGCCATTTTTCAGATCTACAAAATGTTAGGCATTGCAGAATTGATTTTGACAAATTCACGCATGGTTCTGATGTTCCTTTAAACTTTTACCTTCAGCTCTTGTGCAGTCTTGAACACAACAAAAGTTGAATCAGGTTCAAATGTTGCTATTTTTGGCCTTGGTAATAGGCACTAAGAGCATTTGAACAAGGTAAAATGATCAATATCATTTTGCCTCTAGATATAAGCAGTTACCAGCATTCTCATGGTTTTGCATTGCACTACAATTAGGCCTAATTTCATGATGAACGCTTTAGTTCTCTTTTAATAAATATTCCTTCATCAAGTGCACAATGATTTATATTTCAGTGCTTATGCTAACAAATTTAATACTTCATGCACCATATAGGAGCCACAAGTTGTTACATGGTCTCTACAATACAGATCACATGTGGAAACCGAAGTACACAGAGGGTTTTGACAGATGATGGTAGTCAAGCTCAATGGTTCGTAGATTGACAAAAAGCATCCGAAGCAATTGCTTTGTCAAAATCAAGTGCAAAATTGGAGGTACACTATGTCTTCACTCTCTAAACCCTCGGATTCCTTTTATCAAGGAACAACAAGTTAATTGACTAAATCTTTCATGCAAATGTATGTCACTGGATGGTTTCTCTGCTCATAACATATCTTGTATTCACAACAAATCATAGTTAGTAAGAATGCATGCATATGTTTAGTAGAAAAAGTATAAAGTTGAACTTGATTCTCTTGCTTATCGAACTCTCTTATCCTTCAAATAATGCCTGCTTTCCACAATGCCATAGATACACATTTCATTTACTTGCTACTACGTATTGACGTTTACTGTAATGCAATGCTACAAGCTAAGATATATGACATACAAATCATATTTTATGCAAGCCTCAAATAAAAACATGCTTTCGTCCATCTCATGTTTCACATATGAGTGTATGACATACACCTCAAGTACAAAAATGCATTCATTCCATGTATATCATATTTCATGCATGCCTCATCAAAACGTGCTTATCTTCCATATAAGTCATATTTGACTCAACTCTCAAATAGAAAATGCTTTCCTTACATATAAATCTATATGTTTCTGCCATCTTATGGTTTCTGTTAAGACCTTTTTTGTGACATTTTCGCACCCACGTTATCTAAGATGTATGAATTAGATGTGAATTGTTCTCAACTTGGAGGGAATCTTCTTGACGTGTTTTGCTCTTGCAAAGATGGTACTTTTCTCTTTATTTAAAATGAGACCAATAACTGATGGTATTCTTGTTGTATTTTTGTTTATGTTTCAAGTAGATCACGTCATCCAGGGCATTGATATTTCTTGTTAGTTACTTGAGTTTGACGACTTGTTCTAACATGAGGACGATGCAACATTACATGGTATCCTAGAATCAACTAATTCGATGATGCAGCGGTCCAAAGAATAATTATCCTCATACGCCACCACTCAACATGTAGGTGTTTAAAAAGCCACTTGGGAGATCATAATGCAATTTATCTTGATATTTTTTCCTGTAATCTTTATTTGATAATTATTGTGTATGTCTTCTGTTTTTATTTTTGATATGTTCTTGCTGTTGCCTACTGTGTTATCTTTCCACTTTTCTGTAATTTTGTTCAAGTGAGTATCAGATAAGGAAGAGCAGCAAATGAGTTCTTAAGGGTTGAAGCTTTTTAGTTATTAGATATGTGGTTGTTGCCACATGGTTATAATCAGGATTAATTAGGATATTAGTCCCTGGTGGAATTCAAACTTAAAAAGTTAAAAATTTCACGAATATGTTTATGTTTCTGTGTGATTTGCACAACTTCATGCAGCTTTTCTATGTGATTGCTTGCAATAATCTTTTTGATAATTATCCATGAGTTTACTTTCTACATAATTAACACACAAGTTTGAACTATTTATAATTATTATTTATATATAATGTGTATATATAATTTAATTATTAGTTACTATATGAGCCGGGTACGGGGCAGGTTGGGGAATACATTACCCGACCCTGGTTCTGGGACCTGGTTTAACTGGGAATCCCTGTTCCCATCAGGGCTGGTGAACTGGGTTCCCCCATCGGATCAGGGGCAAATCACCATGCCTAGGTAGCAGTAGCACTGATAGTTTTTCTTGCCCACCGCCACGCCGGAAGTTTCGTACCAGCAGATACCTCCAAAGTCGGTTTAACTGATAGATTGGATGCTTTTTACCCTTATATCTTTATATAATATCATGATAATCTTGAAATGCATTTACTAATGTACTGTTGCCACCATAAAAGACAAATCATATAATTTTCTGTGTAATGAGAAGCAAGGTCGTGACTGCTGAAAAATCAACATATATGATTGATCTGCACTAAGAATGTTGCTGAGGTATCTTTTATGTAGTTCTTGTAGGTCTTACAAATCAGAAAATATAAAAAAGATCATATATAAGAGTTTGATCGTTTTGTGTTAGAAACTATAACCCGTCGAGGCAGCTGCTTCTCAACGATTATGTTTGCTAGACAAATTAGGTAACTCTGACTGAAGGTTACTTGTCGGGGAAACAGTGTGGCTAATGCTCTATGTTTAGACGATTTTCTATTGTACTCTAACCATGCCACTATTTCTCTTTTTAGATTGTATTGGTCTTCTCGGTGGAACTATTGTTTATTTCATCTCAATGCATGCCTCTCCAAAGGTTTGCTACTCTTCCCTGGTTGACATTCATCTTAATAATATAAATTTGCTTGATTGGTGACATTCACAACAGGCTTGCTAGGAACTTTTATTCTGCAAAAATTGTATTTCATTGTCTTTCTTGGTTATGCAAGTGTGTTGATTGAACTTTATTTATACTATACTTACCCTTGTCCATTGACTGCCTCCTCTTCCTTGTAGATTTTCTACACGTATTTGTCACTATATCGAAGGATATAATCTTAAGTTCTCTTGTTCGAAGTAGTAATTCTGCATTTAGGGAAGATGTAAGCTCCGTATTCTTGACACTCTTGCATTAATCTTGATCACAAAGAAGGGTCATTGCTTGCCTTCATAAATGATAAATCCTTTTTATGGGATGTTGCTTGCTATCGTTAGTAACCATTCTATGTAAAAGGAATCAACCTCTAAGCACTCATTCCCTGTTAAATTCCTGTGGGTTGTTAAAGGTCATGGTTCAGTTATTGCAGTGATAAAAATCCTTTTCTTTTTTAATCCTAAAGTTGTTATAAATTTTTTTTGTGGGGGTGTTCAAAAAAATCCGATGACCACAAAAACCAGTTGGGTCAAACCAAAACGGACTGTTTTTGTAAAGAGGTGGTCATCGGTTTTCCGAGTCGTATTCACCTGGAGCTTTTTCTCTGGATTGAAAGGTCTAGAGTAATAGAACACCTCAGATAGGTCTCCACAGATTTGTTAACTACGTCAGATTTTCCATTTATTTAGGGTGGTAGGCGGTGCTTCTCTCAAGTGTTGTGACGTGGATTCGAAACATCACTTTTCTAAACACACAAAAATCTTACCTTGTTTCGAAATAATGGAGGAAGGAAATCCATTGGGTCATACCACTTATTTTACAAAGAGGGTCTCCTGTAGAAGGGTGCTTTAAACCCAAGAAATGAGCATACTTCGTGAGCCGGACCACGACCCATTGGTGTAGGGGAGGCCTTCGATATAATCTATGTGAGCTAGTTCCAAACTAGGGAAGGAAGGGTTAGTGATTGGAGTAACCTTGTTGATGGGTCGTGGAATACTTCTGCTGTTGACATGTTGCACATGTTTGTACATACTTGGGTTATGGCCTTCCACATGTTTGCGCAAACCCAGTAGATGATAATCGTTGGTATGTTTTGAACGTGACTAAGTGTCCTAATGTCGAATCATGATAATCGTGGAGCAGTTTAGGAATGAAGGAGGGATGTGCTCGAAATAACCAAAATCAGCCTACCTTACTGTGACATGTTATCCTCTCTGAGTTGTGCAATGATCTTCTGAATAAATGCCTGAAATTCAATCATTTGTGAACTGTCGGGATAAGGCGTGGGCAACCTAATCGACTGTCTCAGGTTTTATTTTATAATTCCAAACCAAAAACCAACAGATTGCTCATTCATTTTTGGTACTCATTCCTAACCTCATGTTGCTCCATTAAGAATTTCTCACTTTTTTTATTCATGCGCCCCCAAAAGGTAGTATTGCTATTTTTGCGCTGCCAAGTGCCAATAAATCCTTTTCATACATAGATTTGAGGTGCTTTCTTGGCCCAAGTAACCATCTGTAAAATGCAGTTGGGTGGGCATTTTGCATTAGCACTGTCCCCACGCCAAACCAAGAGGCATAGCTTGGAGGGAGGGCAATGAAAAGTTTGGCATCACCAAGATTGGGCAATAGTTGTCCTTGTTTCAGTGTTAGGAAGGCGGCAGAATCGCACACCTTGTGAAAAAATTACAATAGCAACCCGTCAAACCCATATTTCCCCTGAGGGCTCGCATTGTAGGGTGTACCCATTCCATTGTTCCTGCTATGTTCTCGTTCTCCCTGGCTACTAACAGAGAGAAATTGTATCTCTAAGAAATCAGTTGTGAGCCATGTAAGTATACAAGTGTCAACATTATCGCCTTTATTAAGTAATAAGATGGTAAGGTAACAAATATCATATTCCACAAGGATAGGTTTTCAGAGCTGCAAGATATCAAGATGAATTGTTATTTTAAACAGATGATGAAAAATAGCAAGGGTGCAACTGTGCAAGGTTCTGTTGAGAATTTGTAGCTTCGGACATAATTAGGGAGATAAGATACCTTCTCAAATAGATCACCATTCAAAAAAATCATTCTTCACATCCGTATGATAGAGTTGCCATGAGAAGAATGTAAACAAAGTTACCCGTGATTTTTATGATGTTCCCTCTAACAAATGTAGTGTCTCATTTCTTGCATCAAATCGTGCATAGAAAACAATCTTAAAACAATTACCCGATGTCTTTCTTATCAAACACTTATATAAATGCCTTAGTAACTGGGAAAAGCCGTAGGTTTTCATTATACTGATTGTTTATACAATACAGATACAGTGTTTCTTATAATACAAGTGAGATTCAGTTGTTCTTACTCAACAATATCAACAGCCTTCCTAACTAAAGGATGACTGGGGAAACTTTCCTTCAACATTTTATGCCTAAAACGGCCACAAACATCAATCATCTCCATTCCCACATCTTTGTTCATAAACCCAGCCAAGAACAAATATTCCTCTATAGTCCATTGTCCCCAGTTTTGAACCAGTCCACAGTTTCATCATCGGGGATGGTTTCTAGTCTAGCTGAGGTACTCAACCAGTCAGTCATGTCTTTATCATGCAGAAAAGAGCCCAGACTTACAAGCGTTGATGGGTGACCACCACATTTAGAAACCATCTTTAGTGAAAGCTTCTCGTAACCTTCTACAGGTCTACATGTGCCAAATGCGTGCCTACTAAAAAGCTCAATAGCCTCTTCTTCATTCAACAATTTCACATCGTATATTATGTTTATATTGTGAGCATTTAGCAGGTTTTTGTTTTTAGTTGTGATAATTATTCGACTTCCCTGACCAAACCAGTCTTGTGATCCTGCTAACATTGTTAGGTGGTCAAGGTGATCGACATCATCAAGGACAATTAGAACTCTAGTACCGCATAAGCTACTTTTCATCATCGAGATGCCTTCTTCAATGTTCTCCGACACCACTTTTCTTTGTTTCAAAACCTTTGAGATAATCTTTTCTTGCAATGTTTTCACACCGTACATTCTTGATTTGGTATGAACATTTTTGACAAAACAGCAACCTTCAAAATCTTGATGCATTTCATCATAAATAGTAGATGCGAGGGTAGACTTACCACTGCCCCAACTCCCGCATATTCCAATCATGCGAACACCACCGACCCCGACTTGTAGTTGTGATTTCAAATCTTGCATGCGAGAGTTTATTCCAACTAGGGCTGTACTGGCACTTGACATTGACATTGAGGGAAGCAATCCACGTGAAATTTCGTTAACAATTACTTTGATGAATTCCGTCCTGCATATTGCTTGCATAGGATAATTAGCTAATAGAAGTAATTTATGTCAAGAAGTTTCAACTCTTTTCAAATGAGGGAATTATCATATTACTCAAATAAATATTGTGTGAGGAGAGTTAAAGTTGGGAAGCGTAAGAAATGATCTGGATTCTTGTTCACATTTAATCTCAAACTCACTCACGAATTGCATTTGATACGAGGATTGATATGGTGCATCTCATTTTAATGTGATGCACGGGTGGAGATCTTTTTTTACGCTTCTCACCTTAACTGTTCTTCTCATTGGAACCTAACTCTATAACACTATAATACAAATGGATCCTCTCTCTCAATGAGGAGAGTTTAGGCGAGAAGCGTAAGAAGGGATCTTCACCCTTGGATGCACATTAGGATGGGATGCATCGAATCAACCCCCATAGCAAACGCGATTCGCGGGTGGGTTTGAGATTAAAGGTGATCATCTCACTTTAACTTTTCTTCTCACACAATTCTTTTTCCTATATGTATATATATAGACAAATGATCGTGTGAGAATAAGAGTTAAGATGAGAAGTATAAGAAGGAATCTGGACATTTGATCACTTTTAATCTCAACCCGTCCCAGGAATTGCACTTATCACGAGAATTGATCCAGTGCATCTCGGTGCACCGGATTAGTGTTGATCTTCAATTATGATTGATTCAAAAGTGGAGATCCCTTCTTATCTTTTTCACCGGAATCCAACTATATATAAATATGTATATATGTGTGTGCGTGTCAAGTAATACATATTTAAAATATCAACTAATCAAATTTGAGATGAGGGATCGTGTGAGAATAGGAGTTAAGTTGAGAAGTATAAGAAGGGAGTTGGATTTTGGACCCATGAATTGCGCTTTAGAAGGGATTTGATCTGATGTATCTCTTCAATTATGATTGATTAGGAGTGGAGATCCCTTTTTACCATTCTCACGATAACTTTCATTCTCATCGAAACCCAACCCTCAAGTTTGAACAATATGTAAGAGATGGAGGATACAAAGTGAAGCCCTTGGTCGTTAATTTTTCTATTTATAATCCGTTTCCAAGGAATTAAGTATTTTTAAGCGGGATGTCAAACAAACGTAGTTGCTCACCAATACGGTATGTACATAAAGTCTTAACAAGAAAATTACCCATGCATGATATCGTTTAGTGTCCAACCGACGATACTTGCTGCATCCTTCAGTGCTTTTCTCCATGATTCAACTTTCTTGTGGTTCAACTCGTTTTTAGTATATGTCCTTTCAAATTCCTCGGGTTGCTTTTGGATATCCAGGGGTTCCACGTCATAGAATATGGGCATTACGATTTGTCCCATCTCATCCTTGTGTTCCATAATATATGCAAGTTCGTTCAACAACCACCATGATTTGGCATAGTTCTTGGAAAATACGATCAAGACAATCTTTGATTCTTTGATTTTGTTGCAGAGCGAAGGAGTGATGGATTCATCCCAGTGAAGTGTCTCATCAGTCATGTAACCGTAGATTCCTTTTTGTAGAAGAGTCGATTCTAGGTGATCCATAAAAGTCTTGTCAATGTCTATTCCTCTAAAACTCACGAAAACATCGTGATTCTGTGACCTATATACAAGAGATGAGAATGGAGAGAGAAAACGATGGAAATGTCGTTAATTGTAAATTGATCTGGAATTAAGTAATATATATTCAAAAGGACGTGTGACTTTAGTAATTGGGAGAATTACGGTATATTATGGAAGAAGCAAACCATATTTCTTACCTCACGAGTTATTGGATAAGTTAACTTTTAATCGTATTCAATCACTTTAAGTACCTTCAATTACATTCCTCTATCTTTATTTTCAAATTTATTTTCACTTTAATTACTTTCATGAACGTTTACGTACATTTAATCACATCACATGTATAAATCTGTTAAAGTTTCAGTCATGATGATAAAAATAGATAAATAAAGTTGGCTAAAATTTAAATGAAGGTGTTGGTGTATATATATACACACACATGTAATATATGTAAGAAGAAGCAAAAGGATATTTGTACAATTTATTTATATATTTAAAATAGAATCAAATATCTTTTATAAAAAATACTTTCTTTAATTTTTTTTGTGTGGCCAATGTAGTGAAGGTAGGTGGTGGTTATGGTGGAGGTGAGGTGGCAATTGACGATGGTTGTGGAGGTTGTGGAGGAGGTTGTTGCAGTATAAGAGGAGATAGAGGTGACCAACGATGGTAGTGGTGGTGGTTGCGTGATCGACTATGGTAGAGGTGGTGATGAACGGTGGTGGTCGCGTGATTGACTATGGTAGAGGTGGTGATGGACGGTGGTTGTCGAGGCAGTGGAGGATGTTCTTGTAGTGGAGGTGGTGGTGGAGGTGGCCGATCGTAACCGCCGGTGGCAGCCAAAACTAGCGATGATAATCATTAAAACAATTATCATATTAAAGTTATATATCAAATTATGGTAATTAGTAATATTTTGGAGGAACAAGAAAAAACTTCTTTTGTCCCATGTTGTCCTACCTTGTTCCAGTTATTGTCTCTATCATATGTCGCGCCAAACATGGGTCGATAAGTTCTTGTTCTGTCCTATGTTACACTGGGACAATGAGTTTTGTCTCGTCCTGTCCTGTCCTCTCCCATCTCGTCCTATGTATGAAACGTAACCTTAAAGGTGGCTTGAAGTTTATTCTGAATAAATGATCTCGGACAATAATCTATTAGGTATGGGTATTTCAATCATTTTGTCGCTAATCCGCTTTGATGAGCCAAATCTTCTATGGAGATTCATATTATCAGTAGGCATGGGGATGGGGCGGGGACCTCTATCCCCGTCTTCGTCCCCGATTATTTATCTTTATCCTCGTCTTCGTCCCCGATTATTTATCTCTATCCTCGTCCTCGTCCTCGTCCCCATCCCGATCCCCATCCCCGTCCCCATCATCGTCGGGGAATATAATTACATCCCCATCCCCAACGAAAAAGGGGGGAAAGAGGATTTTTTTTTCCCATTTATGTAAGTTATTTTAAATTAAATATGTGAGAGACCATCCATGTTTAAATCCCAAACAATTTCAATGAACCTAAAACCAAAATTAATTTAATTTAATACAAAAAAACCACAACATCATATAAAAGTTAATAACCCAAAACCAAAAAAAAAATCAATTTAATAAAAAAAAAAACCTTAAAGTCACGTGTACCAAAAGATATTGAGTAATATAAAACCATATCGAGTAAGATACAAAACTTATCGAGTAATTATATTTTGACTTGATATTCAAAATATTGCATATTAACATCCATAAAATAACAATTTTAGATTATAAACCTAGTCAGGAAATATGAAAATATGAATTACCGTTTTAATTGAAATAAATAATGTGTATATATATATATATATATATATATATATAATTTATTAATTTATATATAATGGGTACGGGATGGGACGGGGAGTATGATACCCGTCTCCGTTCCCATCCCCGACCGAAACGAGTGGACTGAGCTATCAAAGGGTCGGGACCCATTCCTATACCTAATTATCGTGAAATCTCACTTTACAAAAGATTTGGAATACATTTAGGAAAATAATACAAGCACATGGACAGAGTAGAAGGATCCAAGAACCCGAACTCCTTTTTTCTTGATTTTTCAGACACATCTTCCCCTTCTTGATTGTCTGGTCAAAATATGAATTACAAACAAAACCCACAAGTCAAATCATTATACAATTGAACTGCAAACCGGGTGGTGGTCGATCTCAAGTTGTCACCCAAAGGGGACGGAAATAGACAGTGGATAGTCGAGAAAATAGGAGAGAGAGAGTTTAAAGCGTGTATATTAATAAAATAATTTATATAAAAATAAAATAATATATTTATAATTCTTAATAGAAATTCTTCAGAGTAAAAAGACAAAGAAATACCTCTTAATTTACGGACTTAGTGTCAATGATTATTTTCAGAACAAATTACAAACTACAAGGGGAAATTTTTGGACTTATTAATATTCGGGTACCAATTTAGAGATCTCATTAAACCCTAAGGACTAAATTTGTAATTTACTCTTTTTTATTTCTATTTTATATATTTTTGGTACAACTCAACTATGAGCTAAACGCGTTTTCTCAAACTATTAGCATCTTATTTTAATGATTTTTGACAAATTACAATCGTATTTTTTTAATTCATAACAATCAAACATAAAACGAGTAAAATTCATACCAATTCAACACGGTATCATCATCTCGAAAAGTCTTTCAATTTTGGCTTTTCAAAAATATTAAAATTGAATTTTATATATTATATCATCATTTTAAAACAATTTTTACAAGACTTTTAATGTAATATATGATATGAAATTTTATATTTATTACTGATCTTATCGATTTATGGTTTTTTTAAAATAAGATTTAAAACGACCATAAAACTTTAAATTATGGTTTAAGAGTAAATACCTTGATTGGTGAATTGCCTTATGTGTGACGTCATTGGGAGTTGAAACTCTTTGATGATCTTCAACCCTAACATTAATGTGTGCATCGTGCCGTAACCCATTAAAACTTGATTCCTTTAAAAAAACAAATTAACAAACAATTAAGATTATATTTATAAATATTTATAGTTAATTAATGTTTATATATAATAAAAAAACCAAATTAGTACGACATAATTTCATTTATTATGATCTAGACATTTAAGAAAGATGATTAAAGTTCATTTATTATCATTAACGTTTTTTTTATACAGAGGGAGGAGACCCCTCCTATCAAGAGAAAACACTAATTTCGTGCTCAGGTGAGGGCGAACCACATCTACCAGAAAACTTGGTTTTACTGATTATGTGATTAGCAAAAGAACGAAAACATAAAAAAAGAAGCAAAACCGTGCAACAACTTACAACTAGTTGCTCATTCAGAGCTTCTTCAAGTTGTACCACAATTTGACTCATCGTCGGGCGATCTTCTCTGTGTTCATTCAAGCATCGATAAGCAATCGCTGAGAATGTACTTAAGGAAGTCGAGTACATTTGCCTATGTAAATCGGGATCGATGAGCTTAGCTAATTTTCCATTTTCGTAATGTTTTTTGGCCAATATAGATAACGATCGACTCTCACCTAGATACTCTTGATCGGATGCTGGTATTCCACACAAGATTTCAAACAATACAACCCCAAACGAGTAGATATCAGACTTTTGAGTGAAGACACCTGTCTCAAAATATTCTTGATCATGATATCCGATTGTGCCACAAACATCGGAGGTAAGAAAGGTAAATGGGTCATTCGCAGATCTTATTTTCGACAACCCAAAATCTGAAATTTTGGCTGACCAATTGTGATTCAATAAGATGTTTGCACTCTTGACGTCACCATGGAGAACTCTTTTTTCAGACCCAATATCAACATGGAGGTACTTCAATCCATGGGCAATGTCAATACCAATCCGAAGACGTAAGATCCAGCTTAGTTGTTTGCTTTGCAGAAGCTTATCGAGACTCCCATTGCTTTCGTGCTTATAAACGAGTATTCTCTTGCCATCTTGGTGGCAATATCCGACGAGTGAGACAAGGTTTTCGTGTTTATAAGCTGAAAGCACGGAAACCTCCATCCAGAATTCATGGTCTCCGGGGGAGCTGAAACGATCAGATCGCTTGACGGCGATGGTGCCATATTGCTTGGATTGGCCTTGGTACACCTTCCCGAATCCACCGCTTCCAATGATGTTGTTCTCATCAAAGTTATTAGTTGCCAACAAGATATCTGGGAGAGAAATCTTCAAGTCGTCCATGTTCTTTTGATGTATGATGGAAACAAGAAGTAAAAAAAGTCAAAGCAATGAAATGAAAACCAACCTCTGAAAGGATCAGATGCTAATTGTATTAATTAGATTGAGAGATGGAGAGTATTTTGTCTGTTTTGAGGTGAAGTAAACGAGGCAGAATCAATTTATATCGGGAAATATTGGAGCTTATGATTAATTAATCATATATTAAATTAATAAAAAATCGATATTACATTTGATATGAAATTGTCACATCATCCTTACTTGTTTCTTTCTGATAAATGCTACTGTTTTCTAACTTCTGGAACGTCCCACATTGGGTATTATACTGATCCTCAATTGATGATTTCTTCAATTATATTCATGAAAGAATATAGAAGAAGTTTTTTTCTGATCATTTTACATATATAAGCAAAACTTGTTAAATATTAAAAAATAATTTATCAGTTTATTACGTTTTGGTATCATCATAAGTCAATCCATACACTTTTTATAAAACTCCAATTTGACATCAATATAAGTTGATAATCACTTTAAAAAATATATATAAGTTGCTTTAAATAAGCGGTCCCAAACAGGGGCATAGATAATAGGGGCAGTTGGCCATCAAACTTTAAATCTCTTGACATTTTATCCAAATGCCGCACTATAACAAAATCGAGTTTATAAATGTTTAAATATCTTAATAGACTACTTTATGGTACTTAAGTATATAGAACCAAATACTCATGTGTTCTATCTAAAGATGTTGCAATAAATTTATATGATTTTTTTTTACTGCTTAAAAAGCTTTTTATCGGACATTAATTTAAATAATGTCTTATTAACTATTTTATATGACACTGTTTGAAAAAATGTCTTATAAAAAAATGTATTTATATAATAATTTTTGAAATTGTCCCATAAAGAGGCTAATATGACACTTTGATTTAAAAATGCCCTAAAAACATGTTATGATGCCCAAAGTTTTGATATGACACAAATTTTTGATTCTACCCAAGTCTTGTAAAGTAGTATATTATGAAATTTAATCACTTTTGATGTTCTATAAACTTGATTTTGTAGTGAGGTGGGTGAGTAATTTTGTATTTAGTTTCGTAGGCAAAAAATAGATGTCGAAAAAATCTACTTATTTAAACCGTGGTTAACTAATTTAGTTGAATAATTTATATTTAACATAAATTATGTAAAACGTGATTATAAATAATGCAACGTTGTATTTTGTTTGAATTTCAATAGGTATTATATTCGGATAAACGTCTAATAAAACACACACACAAATATATATATATATATATATATATATATGGTATATTTCAAATGCAACCATGTCTATTTGTATAACTAATGCAACCTAATCAATTGAGATATTTTATGGAAATGGTGAGAGTCTATTTATTATTGTTTGAATATTTATGGAAAATGACTAGAGTTTATTAATTATGATCAATATTTTATATTAAAAAACAATCAAAACTTTTATGAAATCACGTATTTATCAAATTAAATGGACGGTTGAGATTGAGTTATATTGCTTGTACAAATGTAAAAGGTTGCATAACAACTCACCTATATATATATATATATATATGTGTGTGTGTGTGTGTGTGTGTGTGTGTGTGTGATATTGTCAACATCGAAACTATGGATTTTCTTATAGTTTTTGACCCTCCCCTATACTGATTTTCTAGCTCTGCCCCTGATCCCGAACACCCCCTAAAAACATTTTCATGTTATTTCGTTTCTTCAAGTAAAAAATAGTACACTCATTTTCATCTTATTCCTCGTAGCTTCTTTGTTCTTTTTCAATTTTCTTATGAATATAAACCCGTTTCACCTAAAATGGTTGTATATATATATTATATATTTCTCAATAGACTATGTAACTTATTGATCGATTTTGTACGTTATCTGATAGAAAGTTTATTAAGACAATCATAGAACACTAAAATAAAAGTCGGGAGTCGTTTTCTCATTTAGCATACAATATTAATTATCATTGAAATTTAATATACATCAAGTAACTATCGAACAATTATTGAATATATTTTAACTTAAAATTCTCCAGATATCGTATAAAAGGTAAATTGCTTGATAAAAAATTAAGTTTAGAGTAATCATGAACTTAAATTTTAGATCACGATACGACATATATTAAGGATATAAGTCAACATGTGAGTTTTGGCGATGAGTGTACACAATCGATAAAACAATTATTTTAAAAAGCATATATAAAATACCAAAAAAAGGTGAACGAAAATTAATAGCAAAATATTTCTCAAATTTCCCAAAACTTCCTTCTTGATAGCAGTATCGTAGCCTTTACGTTTTTACGTGGTTAGGGGTTGAGACCTCATCAAAAGTGAGAAAGGTGTGTAAGTTTATTTGTTGTATTTATCATATATAAATATTATATACTTAAAAAATAAGATTCTACTTTTAAAAGTGGAAATTGTTTGTTTTGTAAGGGGTCTATGTAAAAAAAAGGTCTAAGGTTGTTAAGCATCAAAAGCATGGTCGTCCTTTAACATGTTAAATGTGAGATTTTGAACATGAGTCTAAATATATGTGTTTAGGGTCTTTTTATCAACCTGTGTAAAACTATAGCTGAAATTATTTAGGTTCAAACCATTAATTATTTGGTTTTAGGTTCAAATCATTAATGATTTAGGTTTAGTTTCAAATTGTTAATCGTTTTAGGTTTAGCCCATTTTTATTCTTAACATATATTATGTGTCATCTCATTTATGCAATATTGCAATGTAATCAAAAGTTTTGTATGTAGTCGGGCTTCCAAAAAGATTGGAATGTCCCTGATCAAAAAGTGAAATCTACGCGGATTGAATTGTGAATATGAAAGGACTTGTTCTGCCAACTTGGTAAGGTTTTGAATTTTGAAATCCCCATTTTTAACGGTTGAGATTTTAAACCATTTTTAACAGATTCTTTAAAATAAAGATTTTGTTGTAACAGATTCTCTAAAATGTTTTTAAAATAAATGAAACAAGAAAAAAGAAATTCTTAAAAACATGATGGGAGATAAGAGAAATTATTTTATATAAAATTTTGTTTTAAAAAAATGCATTAAGATGATAAAACTATATAATATTTTAATAATATAATTAATTTGGAAATTTCTAAACTAAAGAATCTGTTGGAGTGAGATACAATTTTATGTAAAGATTTTGACTTTTGGTTTTCTAGTCCAGAGAAATTATAGAGAAGCTGTTAGATATTCTCTTAGATGACGCTCGTGTTGGCACTATTTTGAACTGTAATTATATTGAAAAAACTAACATTCAGATAGGAACAAAATCCTTCAAGCCTTTCGAGAAATCAAGAAGAAACGAGAGAGAAAGTGAGAAACCACTACAAAAAATGAGGAGTATCAGTGACGGAAAATTCCGTCACTGATCCGTTGCTAAAGGCATAATCCATCACTGATCGTCCGTCTGTCAAAAACTCGTAGGTAATGCCATCTGCAATTGATCAACGAAGGATTTTAGCAACAAATCAGCGACATATAGTATTTGCGATGGATTTGCGACGGAAATGTTTCAACGACAGATTTGCGACGGATAATTTTAGCGACGGATTAACAAGAGAAACCTTTCAGCGACAGATTAGTGAGGGAAACCTTTCAGCGACAGATACTTGCATTGACGGATTAGCGATGGACAGACCAAAAATCATTTTCTCGCAGATCACCGACGGATTAGCGAGAGAACTGGTTTTTGGCTTATCCCTCGTTGATCCGTCATTGATTTGCGATAGATTTTTTCTATCGCTAATAACCATCGTTGATACTCTGTTTTCTCTAGTAGTGAACTAACTTCGAGTGAGTTGAGGTTCGACCGAGTAAAAAACACTATTTCAAGGTTTTTCTTAACTAAACTCGCTGGTCTACATATGGTTGGATTTGTATTTTGATGTTCTTTCAAGTAGTGTGAGTTTAGAAGGCCATATTAGGCCATACATCTTGTATTTTGGCTATAAGCTGTTGTAACTGTGGATTATGATGGGTTTACCATTGGAACTCGAAATTCGAGTTGTTTATTCAACAATAAGCTCTGTAAATTGTGCTATATGTTGGTAATACTTGGTAAAGGAAGTTATGTAAAAAAAAATATCAAAAGCCGAGCAGACTATGTGTCCAGATTGAACCAAATCGAAGTTGAACGTGAATGTGTGAGCCTGTGAGGATAACAATCTTGTAACATCAAATAAATGTTTGGTGACGAGTGAGGATTTAATTAATATCTATTTCAATAATAATAACGATGATATGTATTTTGTATTAGGACATCATTTTGCAAAAATAAACTAGCTTATAAACTAATTCATTTATTGGGTACACGTTTAGACGAACATATTATAAGCTAGCTTATTGAAACGTTACGTGAAATAACTTATGAGGAATTTTTTTTGTCACTTTTTCTAATTTTAATTCTCATTAATATTAATTATTATTTATTATCATTAATTACAAATAAATATTAATTGTGAATAAATAAAAATAAAAATCAATTAAATTTTAATTATACGTTAATATTAATTATTAATAATTACTATGAGCCATATCGATTATATTTATATTATCATTTTTAATTATTATTCAATATATTTGTTATCAAAAAACAAATATAATAATTCTAACAATGTTTATAACTAAGTTACATAAAAATTAAATTAATGCAGATTTTGTTTCACAGATAATAAAATTATATTAAATAATTTTAATAAAATATCTAATTTAATTATTAATTATAGTTTTTAAAAAATTACTAATTGATTAAGACATGTGAGGTTGACCAATTTTGTTTTTACTCATATTATAATTTAAAATTATAAATTAATGTAAATTTTTTCAAAAATCTGTTTTGAAATTCCAAAAGTTATAATATACAATATTCAATTTAAATCTCTTTTAATTAACATATTGTATTTTTATAGTTTTTCTTTATTGTTTATATTAATATATTATATAATAAAAATTTGTTTTAATTATATCATAAAATATTATAATCGCCTAATTTTTAAGATGTCTTTTTTGTTAAATTTTGATGACTATAATTAGTTTTTACCAAACA